ACACACACGCACGCACACACACACACACACACACACACACACACGTACAGATGCATGTTAAGGAGCTCCTGTTTTCCCACCAGTCCGAGTTGGTGGGAAAATCCTTGCTGGTCAGTAATTGATTCCGCCCTGCCAGCTCCATTAGCTTGCAGCACAGTCACTCTCTCTCTCTCTCTCTCTCTCTCTCTCTCTCTCTCTCCTCTCTCTCTTCTCTCTCTCTCCTCTCTCTCTCTCTCTCTCTCTCTCTCTCTATCTCTCTCTCTCTCTCACACACACACACACACACACACAGGCACGCACACGCACACATGGCTATAAAGCTGCCCAGTCGTGTTTCCCTTCTATTTGTCGTCGCCTCTCCCTTTTTTGTACTTCTTTTTGTTTCTCTTTATTTTTTAAGAGAATGTGAACTTCCATTCCAAGCAGAAACAATTCCTCCTCTAAACAGAAAAAGATAAATGTCAAGTCATTCTTTTTTTATACATCTTAAATTCACAAATTCTAATTAGCCTCAAATGGATTGATAACCCATACAACATGTGACGCTGTCTGTCTTCTGACATTGATGGTAATTAGGAAGAAAAATACATGTAAGTTCAAAGTGTAAACTAATAATTTAAATGACATGTTCACAAAATACTAACATAACATAATCTTATACTGCTGTTTGCCAAAGATGTCAAAGAAAGTCTTTGGGGCATCTCTTTCAAATACTGTTATTCTTGGTTAATTATATCGTAAGGCATTAGTTAAGATTAATCAATTATTAAATTGGTACAATTATTAAGATTATTCACGACTTTCTTGACCATCCATGCATCAAACATGTTAAAAAAATTATAATAATCTTGCCCTTATTCCTCTCTCTCTCACTGTTTTTCTGTTCTCCCCCTAATCCCGATTTCCCCCTTTATATTCAGAGTGACAGTGTGTGTGTTGGTCTTCTGCCATTCAACCACCTGCTACAGCCCTTAAGTCCCACTCACTCTCACACACACATACACACACACACACACACACACACACACACACGCACACACACACACACACACACACACACACACACACACACACCACACACACACACACACACACACACACACACACACGCCAACTTGCATAAAACACAGAAGACATATCATACATACATTGTTATACTACGAGGAAATGTGTTTCCACAGCCTGTACACAAATAAGAACATTAATCATCAACATCAAGTACTGGAAGTGTACACCCACTTTCCTATCGGCGTACAAACACACACACACTCACACAAACAAAGTGGCAGACACAAAAACAACCACACACACAATTGCCACTTTTTCTTATCGTCGCCGTTTCAACCCCTCCCTTTTTTTATCACACAGCCCGAGGCTGGGCAGCATCCAGTCTGGCTTCCATTCAGCACTTCCTATCCCCCGATGAACATCCATTTACCATCCCGTCACCGTTATCAATTACCATCATCACCATTATTACCACGACTCCTCCACTTCAAAGACCTCATCAAAGCTGATTTATCAGGGAGAACTTTCACATGCGATACAGATTTTATTTTTGATGTTTTCACGTACAGTAGACAACAGCGATAACTGTTTTAACTTTGGCATTCATTTAATTCCAAAATGTGCTATCTGCTGTTTGAAACATGTGACGCCCTCTTCTTAGAAAGAGATTACTTGAGAAGAAAGAGACCTACAAATGAAACTCCTTCAAGATTGGATTTAACAAGTTAATTCTATTTAAGCACTTTTCAGCACTGACGAAAGTGTCCACCACCAATATCACACAAATAAAAAAGCCGCAGAATGTACATGTTAGTTGGTAATAAGCTATTGTGTTTGCGATGTGTTCAAGTGCAACATGATCAAACATGAGCCAACACAAGAGTTAGCTCTGTCAAAACTAGTTTTGTAATGTTTGTTTGGTGTGTCATGGCCTTTGTCAGCAAAGGTATTGTCCCCAAGTGCATGTGTGTCCTTGTGGGTATGCAAAAAAAAGGAAATCTCTATGGGAACCCACATGTAGTATTGATATAAAGGTGCTGCTAATAGCCAAAAACTCCACTCTGTACTTGTAAAGGTTCAAGGCTTTTATTTGTCATGCGTAGCTACAGTGTAGTTATGTCGATGAAAATCTTAGGTCACAGGCTCCACCAACAGTGCAACAGTGCATATATCAAAATTACGTCATATCATCGCAGAACAACTGAGTTTACACACACTGTGTATATTTGATAATAACATTCTTCTCATCCATGGTCATTTCTAAATCATAAATTAACTTTTTGTCCTTTAATGCACAATTCAGCTTACTATAAAGCAAGTGTTACAACCACATTTACGGCAATGTTTTTGAACAATATTTTTATTAAAGCACCATGGCATTAGAAAATAATATGTGTGTGCGTCTGTGTGTCTTTCTTTGGTCTGGGCACTGCGGGTGGGGTAATGTGGTCACTCCTCTGCATGTGATCGTTGAACATTATTAGTTTTGACATGTGAACATACACAGTGAAAGGTGTAGAGCGCTGTCTGTGTGTGTGTCTGTGTGTGTGTGTGCGTACGCTTTGCTTGTGTCTGACAGGGTGTGTGTGATGTTTAGGGACGGTGGGTAATTATGTCAATTATACTGCTGTCATGGCTAGGTTGTACACACACACACACACACACACACACACACACACACACACACACACACACACACACACACACACACACACACACACACATACACACACGCACATGGGCCTGTCTGTGCTCTCCATTTGTTAGCTGTGAAATATTAATCACAGTCAGCTGCCAACCTGACAAGGAAAGGATGTAGAGCACGAAACCCTCTACGCCACACACACACACACACACACACACACACACACACACACACACACACACACACACACACACACACACACACACACGCATGCACACACACACACACACGCACGCACACACATGCGTGCACACACACACACACACACACACACACACACACACACACACCTGACATGTACACGTTCACATGCATATCAGTAACGCACACACACTATTCCTTATCAGTCTCTGCTCCTCTCGCCTAGGCATCTGTGAGTCTCGGGGTCGCAGCTGTCTGAGGGATTATAACAATCGGAGGATGATCCTTGAGGGCAGTGTGTTCATTGACCCATCATAACCAGCCTGATGAGAGTGAAGACAAACTCTGTGATTAACAGCTCGCTACCACTGCGTTGTCCCGTTTGAGTTTTGTCTGTGTTTCCATCTTTGACTGTCTCACAGTGTGATTTTAGTTCATGAAAAATACTTTTAACATTTGTGTCGCCTTTAAATGTATTTTCTGTTGAATTTTGCTCCACCTTTTTTCGTCATTCACAAACCAATGTGAGGCGTCAAGCTGAATATGACCACTTCTTTTACATTGTCCATCCATTTTGATGCCATTATGAGATTTTATTTGTTTAACATTTTAATTTCTTATTAAAATAACAGAGTTAACAGTATAATAATCCGTTTTCTGGTGTTTTGATTTCTAAGCCTGACACTTCTGAAAGCTGGCAGTAAATAGTGCTGACATGAAGTGAATTGCTTGTGGCTGAGTGGATGGTTGGAAAAACCCATTTGTCAATCCAAAAACCTAGGCTAGGCTTTGGAAAACGGTTTGCAGTAATGCTCACAATTTGTAGTTAATGGACTAAAACATAAAACACACAATTACGGTCCCTTGAAGTGGTTTGGAGCTACCCAAGGTGACCGGCTCTGCTCTACCTAAAAAACAAATACTCAGAGTATGTGAAGCCAACGGCTGAGGCCTGTGGCACATATTGTACCTCCACATGCCCTCTTTCTCAGCGTGTGACATGGGAACGACCCGGGCTGTTTTAAATCACAGGCCTAACCACTGGCTGCTCGGCCGAGGGGGTTCCTGGATACTTAGCATTCCTGCAGTGACTGAGCACTGTGAGAACCAAGAGACACGGGCAGGAATATTTTTAGGTTTGAGAATACTGGAAGAACTGATGTGGTGTGTGTGTGTAGACGCATACAAATGTGATATTGCAATGCTGTCTTAACAGCATACTCCCGGATTATGGCCATCATTTTAAAACACATGGTTTTACTTTGAAAGATAACTAAACTACAACACAACAAAACTACGTGGTTAAGTTTAATAACACATCATGGTTTGGCTTAAATGTAATATGTTTGTTGGGTCATTTGAGTTTTATACTTAATTAAAAAAAACATTTGATTCCTCCAAATGTTTCTAAGTGAGTGTGCATGTGTTTTGTGTGGTACTGTGGGTTTGTGTGTACTTTTTATA